CCAAGTCTTTCCCACCTCTGGTTGAAGACAAGCACAAAATCCGTGCAGCTCATGAATGGAGCAGTTCAGCCACCTCTGGCTCTTAAAGCCATCTTTAAAATGACTCATTTACCAGAAAAAATCAACATGGGAATGAAGAGAAAGATGATTTCCCGTGGTCCTTTTTGCTCTTTTTTTTTTTTTTTTTTTACCCCAAACCTCCACGATTGGCCTCAGATTCCCCAGATCCAGGGTGGGGAGGGTGTTTTTTTGTAACCTCGGCAGGGACCTGCAGCCCCAACTCACATCTCTGCATCTGCTTGCTGTACTCAGACATGTTGTCCGGGCGGATGGACCTCAGGAACTTGATGTAGTCGTCGCTGTGGTACTTGGTCATCTCCTCTGCGTTCGCCTTGTGAGGACGCTGCGAGGAAAGAAACCAGAAATACATCAGCACAACTGTTTGGGGTTGTTATTTTTTAACTTTCCTCTGGCTCATCAACCAGCCTGAAGCTCCACTATTAACACCTGACACGCCAAACTATGACCTTTCCCAACTATTTCCCCGGAGGACCAAGCCCCAGGACTCACATAGATCTCCATCTTCCTGTAGAGGCCGTAGTTCAGCAGCAGGTTGTGGGTCATCCGGATCCTGTGGGGTTTCATGGGATGTCCCTGGCCATAATAGTAGTTCCCAACGTCACCTGGGAGCAGAAAAGGGGGTTATAGCAGGTCATGTGTCATTCATTTGTTCTTCAGAGGGGATGTCCCCCCTTCTTTGCACAGGGATATCTCCAGGGATTCAGAGAAGTTTATCCTGGACTCAAGTAGAAATTTGGGTGTGGAGTTTTTAATGCCAGTTCTGGAGAAGGCAATCCAGGCGGAGACTGAGCCACAGACATCACTCTGTGCACGTGGGAGGTGTCCCTGCCCGTGGCAGGGCGTTGGAATTACATCACCTTCGAGGTCCCTTCCACCCCAAATCACTCCATGGTTCTGGGAGCCCCAGGTCTGGACCAGAGGAGTTTTGGGCAGCTGTGCTGACTCAGCACACCAAAACCCCTCACTCTCCAGGACTCCCAGGTTTCCCTGAGCAGGATCCACACGGGCCGTGGGAGTTTAATCCCAGCTCAGACAGCACCTCAACCCAGGGAACAGCCTCTGCCTCACTTTCTTACTCCCTGTCCCAGTGAAATGAGGCCCAGGGCAGGTACCTCTGTCACCAGCCCAGCCCTGGTTTGACACCTTCTCAACCCCTTTCCACTCTTTTTTTTTTTTATTCCTTGAAATCCTCCAGAGGAATCCCAGGCCTTCTCAGCCACCCCCAGCGGACACCAGGGCAACAAAGTCACCTTCCTGCAAGTTCATCTCCCCCCAGGGATTTTCTCCTCCCCAGCCAAAGCCGAGTTCACACTTCCCTCCCCCCTCCACTAAATGGTTGGGTTGTGGTGGGTTTTTTGCCCCCCCTTTCCTTTCCCAGAGAACTCATTTTCCTGAAATGCCCAGGAATTTCACTTTCAGATGGGTGCCTCCTGCCTGATTTGGCTGCAGCAGGCACAGATCAAACGCTGCCAGGAGCAGCTCAGGCAGCAGCAGGAACACCTCCCCGAGCCTCCTTTTCCTGGGAAACCAGACGAGGTCGTCCATGGGAGTTGTACAACTCCAGATCCCTTCAGGAAGCAGGAGGCTCAATCCAGTCTGGCTGGTGACTCAGTTGGGAGAATTAATATTTCATCACCCAGCTCAACGTTCCTTCCCCACAGCACTGGAGCTTTCCCCTCCTGTGGATGGGGATCCATTTTCAGCCAAAGGGGATGCAAATGGGGCAAATCCCACGCCCAGATGACTCTGCTGCTGGAATTTTACCTGGCTCTGGGGCT